AAAACACCTCCTGGTAGTTTTAGGCCAATTCTGCTGCACGGTGCCAGACTATGTAGACTAGTGAAGATTTCAAACTAAACACATCAGCAAAATGATTTAACAGAAAATGTGGCTATTGGCTCTCCAACAGCAAGTTGTGTTTAAACTTCACTGTTTTGCAGTAAAAGAGACTTTTATACAGTTGTAGAAACTGTAACTGAGCAGAATGTGAAGATGTGGTCTGCAAAAGTAGTTATTCGCCTTTCTGATGGAAATCATGAACCATATACCTACTAAAACTATGGTCTGTAGCTACCGTATCTTCATCGGTATTTCCTATTGTGTACCAGACCTTGACTTCTTTTCTAATGAGCTGCAGGTTGGAGCTGTAAAGGAAGTGATGTATTTTTCCCAAATGAATCTGCCAGCTATATAGGAGAGTTTGACAACCTCATGAGACCTTCTCCTGTATATTAACCAGCTGTGTTCATGGCCCTGAAGCACCGTTTGATGTCCTCTTCCTCATATGAGCAGCTTGATAACGATGAAAGGGACTACATTTGTATTTGCTTGAGATTTGTAGGGTAGTTTCATTACTCTCCAATACCACCATCAAGTCCTACAATATTTTTGGGTTGCAATCTGAGACGCATGCCTTACTAGAGCCTAGCATCTCTTCAGACTAATCTGAAGTCAAGCGTCTCTTTTGGGGAGCCAGCTGTAGTTTGTATCTCAATTGCTGCATGGGGCTTATGTCTGGGCAGCTGCAGGTTTTAATCCACTGTCCAGCCACTGCCCAGGAGGGGGCACAGATAGCTGGGTAAGATGAGGTGAGACGCGAGAGATTAAGGCAGAAGAGATGGACGAGAACCCATCGATCTGTGATAACCAAGGATTTGTTTTAGCAAGTTTGGCACCAAAGCTGTTGTCAATTCTTGTGGTATCCTTAACAATACAGATATCCTCTGTCTGATCCTAAATAATTTTCCTTGAAAGTGACAGTAAATATAGAAAGTAAAAGGATTTTTGTGATGTTATTGGCTACTTCAGTATGTTACTTGACAGTTTTCAATAATTGCATGTGTGCATGCTATCACACATACAGCTATAGTTGATGAGGAGAAATGTTTTTCACCTATTAACAGCCACAGTGCAGCTATAACCTAATATTAATCTTGTAATTGTAATTTTTTAATTGCTGTCCCTCTCTCCAATATGCCTTTATCCATTTACTCATCATTGTGTTGCATTCTGCAGTAATGTAGATATTTACAAATTGCTGTCTTTTTTTCCATATTACACTAGCTCTTCCCAGCAGGTTCCCTGTGTTTTTACTCAATATCAAAGAGCTGCTGAAATAAATTGATGCATGTCTGGTTGTCCTGATAAGGCCCTCTGAAGGAAGTTGTAGTGCATGATGAGTTCCTGTGAGCCCAATGCTTGTGAAGGACCAAAGTTCAATAGGAAGTGCAGAAAGGAAAGGGATGCAGATCATATCACTCCCAAGAATGAGGATGCAGCCAATGAAGCTGCTGAAAACAGACTTAAGTAACAGACTTGGAAAGCAAAGGTGTCACTGATGGAGTTTCCTCCAACTCTCAATCTTTTTCTCGTCACTTTCTTTGCAGTATTGCCTTTTCCAAAAGTCATTAGGAAAATTTGTGGGCAGTTAAATTCCTGGATACTTCAGAGAGTCAGGAGTGTTCCCAGGCTCTGTGGTGCTCCCTCATTAGTTTTAGGACAGCTCTTTCTTCTACCTAGACCTTGGTGAGGAAGATAATGAGGTGGAGCAGGCAGTGCATTTCTAGAAAGGACTGGCAATTGGGTGATTAGACACCCTCATTGAGTGTTGTTTGAAATAGCAACCAGTGTTGTTTTAGTGGGGGGAGCGGCATCAGTCAGGCCTCAGACTGGGAACCGCTGCTGCTGTAGGGGGAGGAGCACTTTCACACATAGTGATACTTTGCTGATCGAGTAACAAAGTGACCCGTCAAACACGAGGGCAACGCATAAAGTCGTACACCATGACTTCCCCCGCTCCCAAATACTGCCACTCTATCAGACACCTCGCACCATCCCCTTGTTCCTTCGCATCCTCGTCCTCTGTTGCAAAGGCCAATAAAACATTACCGTTCTGTAATGTTCTGTCGAATATCACACCCGGCCCGTCATTATCCACGAGCACGCGAGAAAGTCTTGTTCCGGGGAATGCAATCTTCATCACTCTTGTTGCTCTTGGTAAAGCATCCTCTTATCTCCACCCTTTCACACGTCAGCATCCAAGGCCTATACCCTCTCTCCCTGTGAGTTTGCACAGTAGTTGACAGCTACTTCAGTGTCTGTGCTTCAGATAGAGATGCCACTTTTCATTGCTTCTGTAATGGAGACAGTCTGTTGATGATTATGATTTTTCCTTTCATAATAAAGGTTATGATTTTTCAACAAGCAGAATGTGTGAGTATCAGTTGATAGGGACCCAATAGAATCAATGATGACAGACACATCAGAAAAAACAAAAACTACAGGCTGTTGTCGGCCACAGATTCTTTATGACAGCACTGTGGCGACTGTTGTGTAATGCTGGTGTGTAAGAACGTTTCAGTTTCAAGTCATACTTCGGGCGTTCTCGCTCCTGAAAGTCCAGACCAGGGTCCGAACCAAGGTTCATGTCTTTGTTACATTGTAAACATTTGTATGACATACGTATGTCCAGTTGTCATCTCCTACATGGGCTGCATCTGTCTACACTTGATATTGATTGGTTTGTAGACGTGTGTGCGCCTGATGTCACTGTGTTGTCTATTCAAACATTGTATTTGTTAACTTTTTAAAATAACTTACTTAGAAAAAGTATTCTTTCCATTTATATAGTGAATAAAATGAATAAACGAGCTCACTTTGTCAATTTCATTGCCACTGTGATATCATTATTGTTGTTTTACTACCAGCAAAATAAACATCCTCATCATTCTAACATTGTACAGTATAATTTCAGGCAAAGACCACAAGCAGTCTTATGAGCCCCATACGTTTCTTTTTCTTCTGTTTCTTTAATGCTGTCGCCACTTCCTTTAATCCAAAATTCTGAACTATCCCATCATCCCGAAAACATTTCAAACCATGGTTTGTTTGGTCTGGAACAAAACCACCTCTTTTGTTCAGACTAAATTTTGGCCCGTTGGTGTGTACCTTTGTCAGAGGCACCTTTCACACCTGGAATTTTGGTTTGGACTTAACTGAAAAGTCTGTAGGTCTGGACTAAACAAAGGTGTGAAAGTGCCCAAAGTCTCCTCTGGACAAGGTTCAATTAGACAATGAAAGCGTTCATTTAGTTTTAATAAGATGTGTTTATGATTGCTTTTGTAAGTAACTGAATTTAATTATCTAATAAGTGGCGTTTGTAGTAATCAGCAGTAATACTTTTACTGGATGTTAAAGTCCTCAGTAGTTTGCATTCTCTTGATTTTGAAATGAACAAGATTTGAAAACCATTTAATCACCTCAGTGTTGTTACAGCCAGCAGTGAGCTGCAGATCCAGGAGTAGACAGTCTGATGATGATGAAGCTTCAGTGATTGTGGGTATTCTGATTAAGGCTCGTGCTGTAAGCCTGGATGGACCACCTCCTGGGGAGGGGGACGTAATGACTTCCCCAGCTGGCCCCCTGGGACGACTGTGCTCGTGCTCTGCACCTCTCCTAGCTGCTTTAAGCCACCACAGTGTTTGTTTAGGGAAGATTAGCAACGTAAAACCCTTACAACATCCTGAACACGCAGCAAAAGGGAGACGCGATGGAGAGGACAGCGGGAAAAGAGGAGTAGAGATTGATGGGTGGAGAGAGTAGCTCAGCACAGAGGATGGTGCAGGCCAAGAATAAGAGATTAAAGGAAAATGTGAATTTGAGTGTAATTCAAAGAATTGGCCAATATGGTCAAAAGTAATATGAAGATTGAAATATTCATGTTGACAAATATCGATAATTATGTCACATTATTACTAATCTCAGTTAGATTTGTAAAATGTTAAATTATCTTTTATACCTCCTCCCAATGCTTGCACAATGCATATGCATTATATCAATGTATATATATATATTGAAATTTTGTTATACTGCTATTGATAAACAATGAAAATTATATTGCAATTATTATTGATATTATTTTATTGCCCAGCCCTGATTCAAAGCCAGTAGTTTCTGCTGAACTTCTTGTCAGTACTGTGCTGGTGTTTGATGGTGATACAGTCAGTGGACAGTTCATGCACAACAGAAAACATCCTGTGGAGTTAGTTTAAGGGCAAAATGTTACTCCACATGAAAGATATTCACACTCTCAGACACTTTACTGCTTTGTGAAAGCACCTGTTCGGTGGAATCTGTCGTCTGGATAATGTAAAACTCTAATGTGCATTTTTGTCTTCTAATCTGTACAGGTTTCTGTTTTTGCTCTGTTGTTATGAATGGAAAGCAATGAGGTGCATAAAATACATTCACTTGAGTATTCGTAGTTCAGCTCCACAGGCTGTAGCTTGTCACATTTTTTCACACAGCATATTGCATCTTAATTCATTGATTGAAAGAATGTGACTGAAGTGAGTTGTGAAGCTGTGAGGCCTCCTGAGCTCAGGTGTGTCACAGGTGTGTGTGCTCAGATATGTTTTAGAAAACAGATGTGCAGCGATATCAGCGGCTGCACAGCTCTGGGAGACTATCAGCACGGACCAGCCTGCCGTCTCACCACAGTGCTCCACTTCCTGTCGGCTTAAATCATGCCAGCCAATGATAAGGACAGCAGAGCACTGTGTGAGCAGTGCTGCTCGTTTTGAGAACTATCTGCGTCTCCCTGATTATGAACCTTTAGTGATTAAAGAAAGATTCAATTACAGCCTCTGCAAGTTATGTGGCTCATAGTAGAGAAAACAGACTCAACATTACTTTATTATAACCACTTGCAAGTAAACAGGATCATTATAGTTAATGGTGACGGCTCTAACCCTGTAAAAACCTCTTTGTTCTCTTTACAGTCCCTGTCCAGAGCAAGGAATGGGGGATGAATTTAACCTCATGGATCATTCAGACCTGTATATCTTAGACTTCAGTAAGTATCCCTGACATTATCCTCCAGATGAGTCCACAAATACCACCTCAGTATGTGCAGCCACCTCGCCTGGTTAAATAAGATATCTTGTAGTCTTCTCAATAAATTTTATAGTGCCATTACTCTCCTTACAGCCCTGCTTCATGTCTCACCTGGTCTAGTGAGCCTGGCCTTGGCCCTGCTTTGTGTAATCACTGGGGGCACATCCGTCTCCTGGACTACCTAATATAGCCATATCCTGCCTGCGCTGGGTTAGCCGCCTGTAATGCATTCAGGTCACAGTTAGGGTTTGTGTGGGCGGGCTTACACAGGGACCGTATGGGACTGGCAGTGCCCGGTGGCATCTCCTGTGGCAAACGCCTCCACGTGCACGTGTGCTGTCGCACTGTTTATCACTGACCATATGGTGGATCAGCCATGACGGGCATATTTATTGAGAGAATGGTTATAATTACTTTTAGAAAGAAGGGTTATAATAAGCTTCACGTCGTCATGATGTGCATGTCCTCATACGTGATTCTGTTTGTTTCAGCCGTTTTCTTCTGCTGTATGATCTGAACAAAACATGATGAGTTTTACATCATGGAGAGAAGCTCTAACCTTGTGCCTGTGATCAAACCGTTACTCACGAAACTTCCTTTTCTTTTCAGGCCCTAATTTGAAGACTTTATGCAAAATAGCTGTTATTCAGTACAGTCTGGAGCAGTCGGGACTCCCACATGATATCAGGTGTGGTGTTTAGTCATAGAACTGACATGTCATTCACACTGTTTGTATTGTACTTGTCTATGTTGAAAATTAGATGTGATTTTTCTGTCATTTTACCAGTGCAGGCTTTTGTTTGACTTAAAATTTTAGACCTGCTTGTAGAAAATAGTCTGCACGTGCTTTCATAGTCTGTGTTCCAGTGGAGTATTTTCACATGAAATACTGCATTAACATTCAGAGAATAATCATGATGATGGTAAAATCATGACAAACAAGTCTACGAGTCTATAACCAATGAAAAGAAACAACATGTAACATATTTAAAACATTTTAAAGATACTATAAATGAGGTAGAGCACAAGCAGCTTAAAGAATACTTTTACTGATTACTTACTGTGATAAATTTGAAAATTACTTACATGATTTTATTTTAGAAGTACTCCTTTTACAAAATCACTTTATTGTTATCAAACATCTAATCACATTTAATAACTGTTCAGGTTAGGTAAAGGTAAAAAAAAAAGTGTCTGAACTGTTTTCAGCAATCACCTTCTTGTCAGCCTGCTTTACTTGAAATGTTCAGACTGGTGTGTTAAATTTAAATTCATTGAAATTTGAAATTTTCTCTTCTATATTTCACACAATCCATCCATTCCAAGTATAAAATTAAATATCCGTAATGAATAGATTTTGTTGAGCTAATTAGACTAGTAGACTAGTCTGAAACGGAGAGGTTACACTAAAGTGTTTGTTTTTTGCACGTGGAACTTGATACTAATTACCCCTCTTAGCCTCTCATTCCTCTCGCACCATCCCTGCCACCTTGCACGCTCCCCACTTTAGTGTTCCTAACCCTTAGAGAGTTTTCTCTGGGGTCACAAGACTCCCTTTGCCCCTCGCTGGCATCTCCAGCTCCAGTGCCAATCTTCCTTCTTAAACACACACGCACTCAACAGAAAAAAAGAAAACGAACAAAGCAATTGAGAGGGAGTGAGTGTGAAACCAGAGCCAGTGATAACAATCTGGAGCTCAACCTCTGACCTGTCATCAGGTCAGCACTAGAGCTTGTTGTCAGCCCCTGCTCCCAGTTCTCGTGTTACAGCCTCCTCTCATGCTAGCCCACATCGTGGCCCTTCCCTGGGTACAAGGGGAGCTCAGGGTGAGAGCAAATGTCAAGCAATCCCTTGATTGGCAATGCAAAATTTTTTAGTGTTTTGGATGTTTCAAAATCTAAACATTTGCGGTGTTATTTTATATGAATCAGAAAAAACTATTGAAACCATCACAATTATATATAACTGCAATTGAACATTTGAAATAACAGTGTAAAAAAAAATAAAAAACTTGATGCAGATTGAGGGTTTTTGTGGCTGATTCTCCCTCTTGTTCACTCCAGGTGGGAACTGGCAGCCATGACCACCAACAGCAACATCAGCAGGCCCATCTTCTCCTCCCACGGTTGATGCTACTGAACACGAGGCCGAACCTGAGCTCTGCTTCAGGACGCTGGGCTGTTCTCCTTCTAATCAACTTGAGACCTGGACTGTTTTTGTAGAGTTTGGATCTGTGTTGGATTTATTTTCCACATTCTTCAAGTGAAACTCATTACTGACCAAAATACCCTGCCTATGACTTCCTTGGACACTACAAGCTCTCTCATGTCCAAGGATATTTTAACTCTTGAAAAGACGGTGGTTATGTGAGACAAAAACGCTGACACGTGTTCATCCTTTCTCTCTTCTTTCTAGCCTCTCTAGAAAAATCCAATCAGCCTATGATAATCATAGACTTCGAATCTTAAGCACAGGAAGAGATGAGAACTTCAGCCAAAGGTCTCGAGAGTGAACACTCAACAGAGCTCCCTGAAGAAACAAATGTGAACCTTCTGTTGCAGATATAAAGAGACTGAGGTGGTTGTGAGTTTTTATATCTTGGTTCTAAAACCATGGAAAACTACCACGTGTATTTAAGGCAAATGTAATTATTGTTCAGAGTATACAGAGACGCTACTACTCTGGTAAATGCAAGGAGAGAATATCAAGTACCACAATGTCAGGGTACAACGCTTGCGAAAGGTTGTTTGACTGGTTTTCAATGCTTGGCTTTCTTCATCATAACTTGGCTGCCCCCCCCCTCCCCCCTCTATCTTAAGTGTTTTAAAGGTAAACTGCAAGGTCGCTGTCAGTCTTGCAAAATAATCAAGTCCATCTACCTCCGCCAACAGATAGCATGTATCATTGAGTCTTTAATAAGACGCCCCACACATGAACCATCTTCCCCTGAAAAAAAAGAAGAAGTCTTTTCACAGGGAAGTTTGTATCGGTGGTCGTCTGTTTTTATCTTCCAAGAATTGTCATAGGGTCCGTGGAAGACTGACTAATCTGTCCCCCCCCCACCCCTTACTCCTGTAGTTTGTTTTTCAGTGCCAAATGTGGAAGGGAATCATGATGCAAATATACTGCGTACGTGTAGGAGCACATGATCCCAGCCCACCTGCTTCAGTTTGCCCCTCGTCGTCATCAGGGAGATCACCACTAATGTAACTGTTCCTCTTTTAGACAATCCTACAGCGTTCAGAAGCTCTCCACGTGACCCACGTCTTCAGAGTGCACATGAACATAAACCCGGAAAGCGCGCTTGCGTGTTTGTGTGCGGCTGCTAAGCAAAGCTACACCTGAGCAGATGTTTGAAATGCTTAAGGGCTGTTATTGGATTACACTCTTGCAGCTTGAAAATAACACGAAAAAGCTCTAACTGGGGATATTTCTTCAGGTTTTTATTTCACTGAACCTAAAAAACATAGGAATGGTGGTGGTCCTTTTTAAAATTTTATTACCAACCACTTTATTATTAAAAAAAGAATTACAACTACAATGAAAGGAAAAGATTGATGATATTCAGTATTTTTGATCCTGTCTGTGAACAGCTGGACACTAGTTTTTTATTGTTACTCGAGGAGTAAAGAGGATTTGTTGGAAACTATTTCAGCCAATGACAGTGTATGTACGATTGACTTACTTTCTTCATTATTGTGAAGAAACATGTCACCCAGTGCAACTCTGTGAATCATTTCTGTCTTTTGATATTTTCTGTACAATGTTGACAGTCTACAGAATAGGAAATAACAAGCTGTGGATTCACAAATGTTTTTTGTTGACAATAGGAAAATGTAGAATATCACCAGACTTCACCGAGTCTTTTACAGTCATTCACCTTTAGGATGAAATGAACAACTTGGCGATGATGAATACAGGCAGGTGACGTGTTAGAGTATTAACACTGCCTTCTTATTCTAACACCATGGATGATAGTTGTAACAGTACAAAGTCCTAAACTTTGCAAAACTAAGAAGAGAACAGGAACCGTGTTACCACACACACTTGCATCAGTCCTGGTCTCTGGGACAGAGCGCTGCTGTTTTCTGTTCTGTCAGATGTTAAAAATCAGTTTGGACCCCGATCGGCTCGGTAGAATCTGACTTGGGTCCCAAACATCAGGACTGAATAATGCTGACCTACTTCCTAATTGTTTACAAATCTGTGTATTTCATGTAAAGCAGTGTGAAACAATCTTAAATGCAGGAAGTTGCCAGATAACTGCACTAAAAGCCAAAACGTGGCATGTCAGGCCTTACAGACAGGAGACATGCTGATGCTGCTTCTTGTCTACGTAGACTCCAGAGTTTGAGACATTTAACTGCCCAAACCAAGTCTGATTTTTTTATTTACAGACCGGTGGTGCCGATGCGACTCAGTGAGTCTCATGATCTCTGCACTGCAAATGCACATGGACATATCCCACACTTGAAATCCCTCAGTACCCCAGTCACTTAGACTTTACAAGAGGTAATGCAGTAAAACCACAGGGAAGCAAACTGTGTGTCTGCACACACACACACACACATATATTTACAAGAATAACTTGTGGTGAACAAATCAAACTGTTAATGTGACACCAAATGGCTGTTTCTAATGTGTGGTGTGGGAGTCATTTTGATCTTTTTGTTGCTTGAAGATTATGGGTGATGGTATTTTAAGTCAAGACCCTTTCAGGAATATATGAAGTGAATGACAATGTAGACACTATGGTCAAAAATAAAATAACTGCATAAAACAAACTCCTCAGTGATGGTCACTCAGTATATCGGCATTACATTTTAATGGCAGTCATGTAAAACCTCATACGCGGCTTTCGCACCTTACAGGGCGGCTCTTGTTTTACCAAAATAAAAGCATTAGATTAAAGCGCTCAGTTATTATTTGCCAAGCAGAAGTATGTGATCCAGCTGATGTCATGCCAAGAAGTGTATGCTGTGTGTAGGGCTCACAATATGTTGCTGAATAATTCATAACTAAAATTAATGGTTATGAAAAAAAATCAGAACAAAGTATGGAGTGTGTTTTGATTCATTTTACAACTGTGCAGGCCCCATGTTCTTTTTTTTTTTTACTTTATATTTGAACTTTTTTTTTAAAGGGGACTCTGAATCTGTTGATGTGGGTCAGGACTTCCTGTGCAATATGCTTTATAACTATCAATAAAAAAACAAAACAATTTAAAGGTTTGAAGTTTTAAATGTGTTTTACAGTCGACTGTTTCAGACTTTGTCCATGTTCAGAACTGGTGGAACTTGTTGTGTCAGTTACAAGTAACAGGTTATATCTGATTGAGTATATTTCTCATATTGTCTTTAATTCAGAGTTTCAGTCCCAGATGGTGAAATGTTTTTTCTCGTGTGCACAAAATCCGAACTTGTTTGCATATAATAAATAACTTGCGTGCACAGGATAACAATTCATGTGTCTCTAACGTCTTTAGATGCACGCAGCCACCGTGACAGTACAGAGCCTCTCAAGTCTTAACGGGTGATATTTTTTTAACTTGTGCACACAATTAATAAACATGTTGGCACATGATAATTATCATGACTTTGACTTTAGGCTCCATGATCCATACAAGGTAAAGGTCAGTTTCTTCATACAGATTATTTTAATGACGACTGCAGTTCCTTATATTAAGAGCCCTTTTTATTCCCAATAGGTAATTCTTATTTCTTATGCATGCAAGATATTAACTTTTTTGCAGAAGACAAATGCTCATATTTACTATAGTTTCATTCAGTTCAATTCACAAAGCCTCCATGATGGGATCAAGATTTATTTTCAGCTTGGATTGTCATGAAATGAGAATTTTGCTGCTTTTCTACAGAGACACATGATTTATGTATTGATCCTGACCAATGATGATTTTTTTAAGCTGTATGGATTAAGTCCAGCCTGAACTGACGGTGTTAATCAGCGTTGTTTGAATCAATTTCGTTGAGGTCGCTCACTCTGATGTGCAACCTCAACGAAACTGATTTGTGAGAAAACCAGACACGTGTGATTTCCACCTCTTTATCTGTGGAATGAAGTCTTGTCTTGGAGCTACTGTATGTGGCACTAAAAGTGAGCAGGCCTTTGAACCCTGCGGCCCCTCCATCCATGCTTCCTGCTGAAAACCAGCCTGTTCACGGTGTCTGATAGCCCTCATCGTCTACTTCAGTGGGTACTCTGAAACCGCGGTGCCATCCAACCCCCCCACCCCCCTGTTGGCCCTCAGACCTAATGGGAATGCGTGCGGCTGCTTTGGGAAGTGTAGGGGGGGGCATCATTAGAAAGTGTTTCACCCTGAACCCCAATCTATGCCTCTTCCAGCAGTAGCGGCCTGGCAGTTTGTTCCTGTCTGTCACCAGCCCCGTGCTATAAAGTCCGCGTTATCTGCAGTGTTAAGTGCAGGCCACAGACGGAGGGTCAGCTTAAAGTGAGGCAGCAGAGACACCCTGTCCCGCCTGGCCCCGCCGCACACAGGAAGCAGGGGCTGCGTCGGGTCCCCCTTGTCTGGCTCTGGAGCCTGCCTGTGGCCCCCGCAACGCAGGCGCTAATGCAGGGAGACAATCGTCCAAATGACTCTCTAATTTCCCTCAAGGACTCAGACGATCCCACTGGCCCTTGAGAATCAGACCGAGGATTTGTTCAGAGTGATTTGTTTTGTCTTGTCCCCCCAGTATCCCTGTCCAGCTCCTTCACTCAAGTTCTAGTTCTCTGCTCTCGTCGCTGCCAGGCCTCGAAATTGGGGATTTGAGAAACAAGGTATTAAAGGAGCATGAGCCCTCAGAGGATAGAAGCTGCGGCTGTAAAACTTAAACTCGTGCAAAATGGAAAAGACAGCAACAGGTCATCATGTCATAAAAGTGATTCTGACAAATTTTATCTGCAGTTTATGATGCGAGCGGCAGCTTTTTGTAAAATGCTGGGTTTTTAGTTTGCGTCAGTCTTGTTTTGCGATGGATGTAATCTATTCATCTGCTACAGGAAGTCATTTGTGGCCGAGCTTCTCAGCCTCAGTGCGTCATGTTTGCAGACCAGGAGCTTAATTCCCTTCCAGCAGAGGTTTAATTATGTGACTAATATACAAGCAGTTACAGCCTTTTGAAGACAAACGGCCAGAGCTAACGGCCTCACAGAAATTTAAAATCAGGATGGTTTTCTGATGAGACTTGAATGACAATGATGGTTATTTGGGGTTTTTCAGTTAAAGTAGTTTTTATATCAGATGATTTTCATAGACGTGGTTAGTTCCAGTATGTTAAACCAGATTCTCTGTTTGGGGAGCTGTAGATCCCGGCTCTGTTTAATAACTGAGAGAAAGTTTAACACTGTTTTGTCACCTTGATGTTAATGGGTGTCCCTAATTTGAGTTATTACTGATTACTTATAAATTTACTTATGATTTGAGTTGATGGAATGGTGGATGCAGCAGATTCCATATAACTGATTTTTATCACTTCTTTGATTTGTTAATTACAGTATTTATCGTGCAGCACAGAGCTGTCAAAAGTCATGTCTGCGTAGCCCATGCAGCAGATAAAACATGAAGTATTTCCCTCATGGTCATTTCTGTGCTTTGCCTCCTTCACCAAATGTTTAAGCTCAGTTTTCACATTAAAAAGTATCTGAAGTAAAATTGTATGCCTTTAAAATGATAATTTGTACACATGCAACTGCAGCAGGTCAAGTACAGGTACTTCAGGACAATAAAGTACGTGGAAATGAATCTTTCAGTTTTATTCTATGTGATTTTTCCACTCCACCAAGTTTCAGAACAGTATATTATACTTTTTTACTCCTTCAATAGAAAAACCTGACCTTCTGAAATACAACATGCTCTAAAATATGAAACCTACAGTCTGACTTCAGAAATAATGAAAGAAAATCAGTGTGTAGTTGTGTATTTGTCCTCTTTCAGATGTTTGTGTTGTTATCAGTTACTGGAGAAAATTACATTTGTGTATCAGTTCATTTGTTCTCTGCCACTAATCATCATTTGAACCCTCAGATTGATCTTGTGACCTTTTGGAGGGGCCCAAACCTCAGGTTGGAAACCAGTGAATTAAACAACTTAAATGTCAAGTTTCTCAAACTAATTCCACTTTCATCAGGCAGTTACACAATAATAATGTTAATATAACATAATGTCGTTTATTATATCGGTTGCTGGGGCCATTTTTATGCAAAACAAGAACTTTTACTTTTGATGGTTTAAGTACATTTATTTATAATTGCTCCGTACTCATACTTACGATTTTAAAATAATTTTGAATTTTCTTAAAGTCATTTACTAAAGTAAATACTAAGGTGAATCCCTAAAACCAGTCTCCACAAAATACAGGGGTCTCTTTTATTATAGATTTCAAAAATGTGTGCATTGAGTGAACAATCAATTTTAAAGTCTGACATTGAATAGTCCCTCAGTGTGACATTTACACAGGACTTCAATAATTAGGCTTGCATAAATGTGAATAGATAATTTATTGGTGTTGAGTTGATGGTTCCCTCTATAAAAACACACAAAAATTCTTCTCCATGACTTTTTAGAACTGAATCAGATTGTGAGTCTCATCCATCAGGTTATTTTGGGGCTCACTTCACTAAATATAACCCTCCTCCATCATTTGTCATTGCAGCATCACAACATGTAACGTAATCCCATTCTGCGTGTTTTTTGTCTTTCCTGCCCACTGGCTGAGCTGGACGAGAGGTGTCGGATGATGGGCTATAAAAGGAGGGACAATCACAAGAGTCTGAAGCTCATCCTCCACACTGGAGCTTGCAAAGGTAGGAGATGCAAAGGTAGTGGTTTCCTCTACCTGCTTTATTCTAGTGTTTCAAGAAATATTGTGATTTTGTTTTTTGGTATTTTTTTTTATTTGTTGTGTCTCCTCTGTGTCATTCCTGATCATGGTGTGTTTAATCTTATAGGTGGATTTTGCAACGACACAATGACTATATGGTGCAACTCCTGCAAATGTCATGTGAGGGCTCCGTGCTTACTCCCTTACCACGTGCACGAGTATTATCGCAGCTCCCTCTGCACAAAGACCCGGTGAGTGAAACTCCTCTTCCTCACTGCAACATGTCCTCTAGTTCCTGAACAACATATGCCTGCTGTGAACACTCTTAATCACCAGTTTTCTCCTGCATGAGACACATCATCTACTATCTGCAGCCCAGTACGTGCATGGTACTAATCCAGCTCCAGTGATGCTGCATTAAAATGAATATCAAGCCACTCAAGATTAGCCTCAGTCAGGTCCATCTGGTGCAGAAACATCTTGCAACAACATCACTTGAATGCACATGGAATAATCTCACTGGGGATTTATAGTGTGTGTTAATTTGTAGTGGAACAATATTGTTATAGATTCATTAATAAACTTCTAATCTTGTGATATTTGTAATAGCATCCTAAAGAAAGATCAATGGTCTATTTTTTCACGCTCATTATCATAAATACACTCTGGGATACAACCTGGTGTAAATTCTCCTTTTGAGGCACTTTGTGTGTCCTTGTGACGTGGCCCCCCCCCCACCCACTCAGGACACCCACTGTATAAGGCAGTGAAGGAGCAGCAGCAGAAGCCCAGCCTCCCCCTTTGTGTGCGACGCCCACGCTGAAGCCCTGGCAGCTATAAAATCCCTGGCTCTCTGTGGATGGGCCCAGACAGATAGTGATCACACAGACTGCGTCTACTGAGAGCAGTTTCCATAGGAACCCTCTATAGTCAAAGTCCCATTCTGCTCATGGGGAGGAGACAACAGGGCTGAATTGTGAAAAAGAAGCTAGATCACTTCAGGTCAATTATTAGATTTATTTTTTTTCACGCTTCTCCCATGGAGGAGAAAGATTTTTTTTTCAAATGAAAGTGTGGCAGTAGAGGTTCTGGCTCTGGCTCTCCAGATTTAGTTGGTTCAGTTTTCATCCAAACTCTGACCTCAGCCAACATGGTCTCTCACAGATCCACCAAAGGAGCGTCCAAAGCCCGTCGGGACCACATCAATCACGAGATCAGGAATATGCGTGCTCTGCTGCCCATCACCCATGACGACCAGGAGCGTCTGTCCTACCTGCACTCCATGGCAGCCATCTGCACCTACATCAGGAAGTCTGTCCTCCTCCGGGGTGAGTCCGCAAACTTCAGTTACACTTTTACACCTTTTCAAACTTAAGTCAGCATGTGTCACTGCCAAACAACACGGGAAGGAGTTTGTAGAGAATGTAAAGAAAACACATGTGACTCCGTAGATGCTCACCAAAGCTTTAACTGTAACCTCTCTAAGGACTTCTCCCTGGGGACGGATCTCACTGTTCTCTACCATACAAGGCCTTTCTCCAGGCTCTGCACGGCTTCATCCTGGTCACTACCTCCCATGGGAGGCTGGTCTATGTGTCTGAAAATGTAGCAGAATACCTGGGTCTTTCCATG